AAGCTTATCACATTGTTAAATAATACGGCTTACCTGATCCGGATTAAAATTTAAATCAGGTGGCATCCTGATATTATCACAAGGATTTAGCCACCAAATCTGCCCCCTGGGTCCATCCACGCTCCCAGGGCCACTCCGGTGGCCGTGTTCTCAAGCCGGAAAACTCCCTGCTTCGAAAAAAGCCACGCTATATTTCGGGAGGCAAATTGGGTGGCTAAATCTTTGTGATAATATCAGGATGAATTAAATTTTTAGATTTAAATTTTAATCCGGATCAGGTCAGTCGCTTTATTTAACGATGCAATAAGCTCATTAGCTTGTGTGTTCTTTTTCTTGAATAACTTACTCCATCCTGACCGCACTCTGCTGTTGGAGGGTATAATAATGGGATATTGCACTGATGCTGTTTTAGGACTAATATTTATTGTTATTTATTGTTTTAGGACTAATGTCGTCTTAATGTTCAATCAAACTCTATCTCCACTTAAAACCATTAGACCTAGTTTGACCCAGCGGAGCAGCAGAGAACAATACACAGGAACATATCTGTTTTGTTAATTGAGGCATACTTATATGCAAAGGGATCTTGTAGCAACTTTGAGACTAACTGTGCAAAAGAAGTTGTAGCACAAGCTATTGTAGACTTGGGTCTACTTCCTCAGATGCATGAAATGAAGTGTTGCCCAGGAAGGACCTTTATAACCAGACTACGGGCCTTTGCAGACTGCCAGAAATCGTGCAAATTGAGTCCACTTTAAGGGTTAGGGTAAGTGCTAGGGAGTCATGGGAACTGTTTTTTTTTTTTTTCTGAGACATTGAGCCTTCTCTGTCAGAGAGCTCTGGTGCCACAATAAAATACAGTTCCCGTGGTTCCCTAACCCTAACCCTAACCCTTAAAGTGGACTCAATTTGCACTATTTCTGGCAGTCTGCAAAAGCCCTACATTGGGTGCTTGATATCCAGTGGGGTTTGGTCCAAGACCCCCATGGATACCAAAATCAGTGGATGCTCATGTCCCACTAAATGCAATGGCATAGTAAAAAAAAAAAGTGTCCCTTATATATAATGGCAAAATCAAGGTTTGGTTTTTGATATTTTTATATTTTTAAAATATTTTCAAGCCCTGGATGCTTGAATTAGTGGATAAAAAAAAATCTGTGCATACAGAGGGTGGACTTCACAGGTTGACCTTCCCATATCTGAAATGCTTGGGACCAAAAGTATTTTGGATCCCCCCCCCCCCCAGATTTTGGAATATTTTCATATACATAATGTGATATCTTAGAGATGGGAGCCAAGTCTAAGCACAAAATTCATTGATGTTTTGTATAAACCTTGTACACGTAGATCAAAGGTAATTTTTATATACAATATTTTAAATAATTTTGTGCCTGAAACAAAGTTTTGGAACACTGAACCATCAGAAAGCAGCCACCCATGGAAAAAAATTTTTTGATGTTGGAGTATTTTGGATTTTGGAATTCCAGATAAGAGAGACTCAACCTATATAATTGGAATCTCTATATTTTAAAAATATTTTCAAGCTATGAATGGTTGAATTTGTGGATAAAAAAATTCCGTGGATAAGGAGGGCCAACTCTGTATGAATGCAAAACCTGTGGGTCTGGTGAGGAGGTGATAAGTTCAGTTTTAACAATGGTTTTTGAGGGACAGAGGCAGGAGGAAAGATGTTGCCTAACGGCCCGTAAAGAGCGGCTCTGTGCTGTCCCTGGGAATGCCGGATCGGGGCCATGGCAACCACGCGCCACTGCTCCGATCCTCCTTTTTGTCGCTCCAAAAAGAGCTGGCAAATGCTGCTCCTTTTTGAAGTGGCAAAAAGCTGCCCTTAGAGTCGTGACGGCGGCTCTTTTGCGCGCCTTTGGCACAGCATGTGTGCATGCTGCACCAATGGGGCACCCTGACGCCACGTGCCGTGCGGTTGGGCGTGCGGCGTGACAGCGGCGTCAGGGCGGGGCTGGGGCGGCTGGAGCGCAGTCACCCTGCCCCAACTCCATCCCCAGGCCAGCCCTTTAGGCCGGTCTGCATCGGATGCATTTCCTGCTGTCCTATTCCCTGCCAATTCCTTTTGCAGCTGCCAAAATCAGAGTTGCCACCACTGTCAACTGATGTCCACAGTCAGCATGGAGCCAGTGTCATTTTAAAACAGTCCCGCAACTCTCTGCCCTGCCAGTCTTCATTACTCTATGGTGCAATAAGGCACTCTGGCATCCTCCTGTGCCATACAGAACCACTCGCGCTGCCTCTGAAGTTCCAATAATTGATTTTAAAATGGCAGTTGCGTTCAAAGATATAGCCATGTTAGTCTGGAAAATCCTTTGGCATTTAAAATGCAGACACTGAAGTCACATGGCCACAGTTGTGCAACCTCCCAGTGGCTTGAGAAGACTTCAGTATTGCTCCTTCATCCCTAGGAAGTTTCCCACCCGTCCATAGGAGCAAAACATTTATCTTTGCCACCCCCATAAACTATTTAATTTTACAGGTTCGAGCATTAGGGTAACCACTTCAGGCTCATCTTATGTCTTGACATCTCCAAGCCAAAAACTTGGGATGTCACATTAAGTGTTATCCATTAAGTGCCTACCACAACTGCTCACAGCTTGACATTCAAATACAAATAGAGCGGGAGGAGAGGAAAATATGTTTTCCTGTTTGGAAATTAAGGAGATTATGACACACAGCTGTGATTCGACCTGGATAAACAGATTATGGCACAACCCTGCCTCTGACCCATAGCTGCTGTATTCCCTGAGTGTGATTACGTTGTCCCTTTTCATTGACAAAGGGAACCTGTCAATGAGCTCACAATCATACTAGTCCTCAGGTGGAAAACATCACTTCCAGGGCAGTTGCACTATTGGCAGTCACATGGTGTCCATCCTCTTTTTTCCTTCTGTTTCCGCTTACTTTCGCTATTCACAAGCAGGCTGGTTGCTTTTATTTATTTTCTGTTTTTTTCCTCTTACCAAAAAAAACAAAACAAAAAACTTCAGTTGCAAAAGCAGAGTCTGGAACTGTGTGAAAAAGTTAAAATAAATTAAAATTTAAAATTTAAAATAAAACCCAAAGGTGTGCTGGCTACAGCATAGGGCAGGAAACAGGGTTGAGAGGAAGTCAGAAAGAAAGCATGATGGCAAAAGTAGCCCCAGTTGTGTAGTTGCAAAGATGTGTGGTAGTGGCTCTTACACCAACAGGTACAATTCCATTTTCATTGACAAGTGTGATTGAAGCAAGAAGCTTGTGAGGTCATGTCATAAGACAGAAATCTCTGCTAAAGGGCTGAAGGCAAGATGAGATTCCTTCTCACTTATTTTGGGAGATGGGATAAGGAACATTTAATTGAATCTCCTTGCCTCTAGCCAGATGCAGAGCAGAGTGGAAGGTGAGCCCTGTTGCCCCAATGACTGGGAGGGGAGAGGGGAGTAAATACATAGATTCCCTGGATAATCTTTACAAGTTGCAGCAAGAAATCCATTAAGCCTTGCAAATTATAGAAAGCTGCCACTTTTCTAGCTGAGCTGTGCACAATCCTTTCCTCTTTCCTGGAGCTGAGCCCTGCAAAAACTGGAGAATTTGCACCCTCTAGTTCCCACTTGGAGATCAACTGAAGACTTGGGATCAGGCTCTGAGATCTGGCAACCTTACCAGTGTTTTATCCTCTAAGAGAAGCAGACCCTGGAACTTCCTGCCACCTGGGAAAGAAAAGAGATTGCAAAATATTGTAAACTGTCCATCAGACGCACACAGAGAGACACACACCAGCCCCTCTTGTGAAGGGATCGATCTGAGTTGACAAAAGCAAGAAGAGAACTTGGACGTTACTCTTTGCAGGCGGTTAAGTGCTAACAGTTGCTTGTTTTCTTTGGACCTGGCTGTTCCGGAATTGTTAAGCATTACAACAAGGACCAGGAACTGAACTGAAAGCCTGGGGTGTTCATCAGGATTAGTTTATAATTATGGAGCCACATCTTCCCTCTGATAAAACAGCACTTGCAAAGAGAAGGAGGGACCTCCAGAGAATGGGGGTCAGGGGTAAAGGAACTTGATTGAGTTTTAATTTACGAAGGCTGGAAATATTCCGGTTTCTCACCAGCCGACCTTGCAAAATTTTGGCTTGTGT